CCCCCCCCCCCCCCCCCCCTCTCTCTCTCTCTCTCTCTCTCTCTCTCTCTCTAAAACCGTCTCACTCAAAATCTCTCTCTTTCTATCTCGGCTCTCTCTCTCTCTCTCTCTCTCTCTCTCTCTCTCTCTCTCTCTCTCTCTCTCTCTGTCTGTCTCTCTCTCTCTCATGTCTCAAAATCTCTCTCTCAGAAGCGGAGCACACACGAAGATCGAAGTCGGCACAACAAAAATCCCCTTTGCAGCCAAGCCTACAGGGCACCTAATTTCCCACAAAAAAGAAAGAAAGAACGCGGCCAAGCCAGGGAGGGATGGGAGGACGGCACGCCGCCACCACACAGGGGTTTTAAGGAGAGGAGTGTGGTGCTAGCCGTCGCCCACCCTAACCCTTGGTCGTCTGCCTCTTTCTATCTCCCTTCGCACGTTCGCAGTCCCCCGCCGATTCTCGCTGCAACCTTCATGCGATCATGCCACCTCGCAGTCGTCCCACTCTCGTCTCACTCTCATCTGCCTCGTCCTGCGACGCCGCCGCCGCCTGCCGAACAGCCCGGCTCCGACATTCGGCCGCTTTCTTCTCGCGGGTGCAACGAGAAAATTGGGGAAGGCGCTGTTTGGCAGGTGTGACTAACAGGTGCGGACAGCTGCGGACAGCGGCCGTGAACCATGGCCGCACCGCTCGAGGAGGCCCAACGGGAGCTCGAGGAGGCCGGCGAACGCCAACGGGAGATCGACCGCCTCATCGCCATCGAGAACCAGAAGCTGGAGGACCTCAGACAAGAGCGTGCGAACAAGGGCCGTGGGCGCCCGAACAAGACGCACGCCGGCAAGGTGAAGGGCGCGGAGGCCCGCCTTGCGCGGCTGCAGCGCGGCTTGTTGCCGTCGGAGGTCGCGCCGAACGTGCCGCGCACGACGGACGAGCTCGTGAGCTCGGCACGACAGCATCCGCAACACCACGCTGCGGCGAGCGCGGCGCCAGTGGGAAGGCCCTCCGGCTCGAAGCGCGCGCGCGGCGAGGGCGAGCCGGCCGACGACGGCGAGACGAGCGACGGCGACGGCGACGACGGCGACGAGAGCCCCGAGTTCAAGCAGTTCTACCGCGTCTCGCCCGCGCAGAGGTCGTTCAATGAGGACGCCGCGCACAACTACATGACGCACGAGCTCGCGCGCTCCGAGATCACCGTGCACCCGGACAACCTGCTCGCGAGCGGCTGCAAGCACGATCTGATCGGCGTCGGGCCGGTGCACATCTGCGCGCCGCACAAGGCCGGCTGGGTCGCGGAGCGCGTCGGCTCGCCGCGGCCGCTGCACTATCGGCCGACGGCGAGCGACGTCGAGATGCTGCTGGCGCAGCCGCGCGACGCGACGCCCGCGCAGCTCTCAGACACGGCATTCGCGCGCGGGCTCCACCTGCCGCCGTCGAGGGCAGAGAAGCTCGCGGCCGAGGCGGCGGCGGAGGAGCGGGCGCGGCTCGCACTCGAGGAGGCCAACTACCGCCGCCTGCAGCAACAGCTGCGCACGCGCGTCGAGCCGCCGGCGCTGAGAGAGGCGCCGCCGCCGCAGCTCGCGCAGGCCGTCGGTGGCGACGAGCTGCCCGGGCCGTTGCCCGGCATGGCGACGCAGGCCGTGGAGCCGGCGCAGCTGAGCAATGGGGACGACGCCGACAAGGGCCCAGAGCTGGCGGCAGAGGGCGGCAGCGACGGAGAGGAGGCGGCGGGAGGCGAGGCGATGGAGGACGACGGAGGAGGCGACGGCGGCGGCAGCGGTGGGCGGCGACGTGGCGGCGGCGGTGGCAGTGGACGGCGCCGAGGCAGTGTAGGTGGTGATGGCGGCGGCCGCGGTACGCAACGTGGCGGAGGGCGCGGAGGGCGCGGAAGGCGCGGAGGGCGCGGAGGCAGCGGTGGCAGCGGTGGCGGCAGCAGCGGTGGCAGCGGGCGCAGCCCGATCAAAAAGAGGGGGCACGATCAGCGTGGCGGTCGGTCGTCGCAGCAGGTCGCTGCCGACAGGGCGCGACGTAACTCAGAAGCAAGGGCGGCGAAGAGGGCGGCAGCGCGCGCAAAGGAGAACGCGGCTGCTGCGGCGCTGGAGCAGCAGGGGGCGCAGCCGGCGGCAACCAGCAGTGGCGCCTCGGCGACCGGCATCCTTGCTGGCCTGCATGGGAGGATCTTCGGTAGTGGATAGCCATGAGAGCGTCTAAATCCTCCTTCTCCCTTCCACTCCCTTCCTTTCCCCTTCCCGCCCGTTCCCGGCCTCCGGCCGGCGCCTGCGGCCTTTTTTTTCTTTTCTGGTAACACTGTAAAAAAATGCCCGAAAATTGCGCGCCCGCGACGTCCACGCGTCCCTCTCAGCCCCGGGACAGCTGTCTCGCCGCTGCCCCCTTCTTTATGGCCGCCGCCAAGAATTATTCCGCCTACGACGACGCCACGACCCGCCGGCTCCTCTGCGGCGATCTCTCGGAGGAGACGCGGCTGCCGCGTGAGCTGCTCGAGCGCTTTCACGCGATGTGGTGGCCTCGGCCTCCTCGCTCGCCTCGGCCCCTATCGCCGCACTCACGCGTGCCCGCCGTCACGCTCGATCGCAGGTGCGAGCGCTCGCGCCCCTTCTTTGCCGCCGTCGACGAGACCAGCACCATGAGCGTCGGTGCTCTCGCCGAGGTCGTGCGAAGCCTCGGCGTGCACTCGGACCTGCTCTGCCGCTCCGTCAGCCGCGTCATCGCCAGCGGCGCCGAGGCTGTCAGCTTCTCCGCCTTTGTCCGCGGCTACGCGCAGCTGCACTCGCGGACTCTGCGGGAGGCGCTCCCCTTTGCCTTTGCCGTCTTTGACTTGGATGGCGACGGCCTCCTCTCGCCGGCAGAGTTTCAGACCGTGCTCGAGGCGCGCAGCGCGTGCGCGGCGGCGGCCCCGCCCCGCCGCGCCCCCCCCATCGCCTTCTCCGCCCCGCAGGCGAACCTCGAGCTCAAGCAGCTCGACCCGGCGGCCGTCCGCCGCGTGCTCGCCGCGCCGCCCTCGTCGGACCAGCAGCTCCGAGGCGGTCGGGCGCGACCAGTTCCGCTGCTTCGCCGACATGCCGCAGACACGTCCTGGACGTGTCCGATAGGCCTCACGCGCGACCAGTTCCGCTACTTCGCCTCGCTCTCCTCCGAGACGGTCCTCGCCACCTGCGGCTTCCTGCTCCACGTCTCGGCCTTCTACGTCCCCCTCTACCCGCTCGGGCCTGAGGCGGAGGAGGAGGCGGAGCGAGAGGCGGAGGAGGCCGCCGCCGCGCAAAAGGCGGCGGGCGGCGGCGGCGGCGGCGGGGCGGACGGGCCAGACGCGTGCGGCGCGTCGGCGGTCGGCGAGTCGTCGGACGGTGCGAACCCGTTTGAGGACTCCGACATGCTCGCGGCGCTCGAGTCGCTCAAGACGACGCCGGAGGAGCGGGCCGAGCGGCAGAAGGGGAAGGGGAACGAGGCGATGCGCTCCCGCGAGCCGCACGCCGCCTCCTTCGCGGTGGAGCGGTACAGCGAAGGTCTCGCCGAGAGGCCGCGCGACGCGAGGCTGCGCGCGACGCTGCTCGCCAACCGCGCGGCGGCGCACACCTCGCTCAGGAACTGGAGGCGCGCGCTCGACGACGCGAAGGAGGCGCTCGCGGTGAGGGCGGAGCACGAGGCGAGGGCGGAGCCAGAGGGATGCGCGGCGGCCGCGGCCGCGGCGGCCGGGGCCGAGGGGGGAGCGGCCTCCTGCAGCGCTGCCGGAGGGGCAGACAGTGGCTCTCGCGCCTTGGCGGCGGCGTCGCAGGTCAAGGCTGCGCGGCGCGGGGCCGCGGCGGCGCTGCGGCTCGGCCTGCTGGCGGAGGCAAAGGCGCTGAGCGAGGAGGGGCTGCGGCTCTGCGGCGGCGGCGGCGAGTCGGAGGCGGCGGAGCTGCGTTCGGTCGCGAGCGAGATTGCGGCGCGCGAGGCGGCAGAGGAGGCGAAGAGGGTGGCTGCCGCGGCGCGCGCCGCCATGGAGGAGGAGCTGGCGGCGGCGCTGCGCGCGCGGGGGCTCGCGGTGGGAGAGTTTCTCGACGAGGGGTTGCGGCAGCAGTGCGTCGGCGAGCACGCTGGTGCTCGTCTGTGGTACGACTCTGCCGCGGCAGAGCTGCACTCTCCGGTGCTGCTCCTCTACCCGGAGGCGTCGATGTCCGACTTCATCCAGGACGTGGCAGAGGGGGAGCGCCTCGCCGACCACCTCGAGGAGATGTTCGGCGAAGCCGCCGAGCGCTCCCCGCCGTGGGACACCGAGAGAAAGTACGCCGCGCCGGCGCTGCAGCCCTACCTCGTCCTCGACGCCGACGGCGAGGCTGGCGTCGGCACTTGCCGGCGCCTCGACGCCTCGACGGCTCTGCTGCCGCAGCTCGCCGCCCTGTGCGCCGAGGGCTACACCGTGCCAGGCGTGCCCATCGTGCACGTCGTCGTGCGGCGCTCCGCTTTCGAGCGAGAATTTCTCCGCACTGGCGGCGCGGCCTGAAACGTGACGGGTGAGAAATAAATAAAACGGACACCTCTACTAGGAGATGGGTAAAAAGGAACAGGTCCCCGCCCTGCGGTCTTTGTGCAGGGTTCTTTGTGGGTGTGGTCGGCGACTAGCCGGGGTCGTCCTCCCGATGGGGGACTATCACTAGCCGTCTTCCACATATGGTCCCTCGGGTCCCTGCTGCTCCTAATCTCGTCGTACATCCTCCTGCTGATCTCCGCAACATCCTGCTCCCTCCCTCGTCTCGCCCTGCGCGTCTGCTCCGCCTCACCGTCGTCTGCTCTGCGTCGTCTGGTGACGGGTCCTCCCATAGTCGGTTGAGGTCGCCGCCCTCCTCGTGCCTCTTCCCAACGTTCCCTCGGCGGCCGATGCCGTCCGCTCCGGCTCCCCAGTCCCCGGGTCTGCCCTGCTCTCTTCTGCGCTAGCTTCTGTTTCGTCATCACTGATGTCCGTCCTCTTCTTTCTCCTCTTGTTGTATGCTTTGTAAAGTATATCGCGTCGATTCCTTTTCGCGTGAGCACCACCCTGAAGCCCGCCCAGCAGCTGAACCGCTCCCTAAGTCGAAGGAGCATCATCAGTCTCACCCACTTCGCTCGCTGCCCACTGTCTCCGCTCCCTCCCGCTTGGGCCGCCGTCGTGGCCCTCGTTCGTCCCACTGGCTGTTGGCCCGTCCCCTGAGGGAGGGTGTAGAGGATGTAGAGTGTAGAGCGCTGTAGAGCTGTAGAGATGTAGAGCGCTCTGGAGCGCTGTAGAGCAATGTAGAGCTGTAGAGCTCTACATCCGCCGCGGGACGAAGCGCCTGCGTTGTAGAGCGATGTAGAGGCGCTCTACAACGTGAAATCTCTACAACAAACTCTACATCATAAGCGGCGAACGAGGCACGGTCGCTCTCCGACATGAGGCGCGTTGCACTTGCCAGTGCTACCCTGGCCTTCTCTCTGCCCGCCCAATGGGTGGCAGGTGCCTCTGCTGTGCTGTGGCATGCCTCACGGCTTTTACTGGCCGGCGCCTCGGCGCTTCAGCTCGGCTCGGCGTAGCGATTGTGGCCAGCGCAACTCGCCTGGACTCAACGCTCAGCCAGGAGCTCCCGCACGCGCTGGCGCGAGTCATGGCGCATGCAACGCTCAACAATGCTCGCCTCGCCTCGCGCAAAGGGCCGTCCTCGCAGCCGACAGTCCACCGCCTGCTAAAGAAGCACAGCGACGAATGCGGCACCGGCGACGCATGGCAGGCTGGTCATGACGCAGTTGTAGGGTGTTGTGTGGCGTCAGAGTGACTCTCTGTGTGTCAGGGACAGTCAGGGCCGTCCATCAGAGCTCCAGTAAGCTCGGAGACACCCCATTATTAGCGGTTCGACCTCTTTGTCCCGGCGGTTTGGCTGTAGAGCCTCTACAACAAACTCTACAGCAAAATCGCGCTCTACATCGCTCTACAACGCAGGCGCTTCGTCCCGCGGCAGATGTAGAGCTCTACAGCTCTACAGCGCTCCAGAGCGCTCTACATCTCTACAGCTCTACAGCGCTCTACACTCTACATCCTCTACACCCTCCCTCAGCCCGTCCCCACGTTACCTCTGTTATCCCTCCTCCTCCGCGACTCCCTCAAGGCTGGCCGGGCCTCCTTCCACCCAGCGAAGACGGGTGAGAGTGTGCGGCGGGCGGCTAGGTTGAATTTTAGCCCCGTTTGAGAATCGGAGGCTTTTCAGTGTATGTAGCTCTTACGAACTTTTAGATTTAGTCTGTAATAGTCACACACTTTTTCATTGCAGCAAGGCCTAGCCGCTTGCAAGTTGAACATAAAGGGTGTGGATGCTGGTCACTTGTAGTGAGCGTCGGGCTGGTGGTTCGACACCGAGTTTGAAAGATCTGTTTCTCTCGTCTCTCTTCACAGGAAAATCCTGTGAAGAAAAGCGGAGAAAAAACAGAAACCTTTTCTGCCTCGGCCTTAGCCGTCGGTACTCCGAAAGCGTGCTATCCAAGTAGCACGCAGCCGGGTCCCGAAGGTGTCCCATCCCAAATTCGTGCCGTCGACAGACCAGATTCGTGGTCCCTTGGTCGACTACACCCGCCTTTGGGACGGTAGCCCGACACAATACTTGGAGCACTTGGAGTGCAGTCATTAACCGCACATCCAGGGCCGGGGAGCTCAGAAGCGCACCCAGATACATTTGTCTGTCTTTTGGATTTTTGGTCGAGCCCGCCGACCCTCGGAAGTGCCGCGCGCGCCCCCCGGGGGAGGACCGCATGGATGCGCAGGCAGGCCCTTTTACCCTGCCAACGTACATACATCCTACTTCCCCGGTGGACGCCCAGCGCCCCGGGCGGCCCCCGGGGGACCCCCGCGGGCCGACGCCCGACCTCGCCGGCCGATCGGGCGAGCCAGCACACTTCCCCGTGTCACATTCCTTCCCTGGCGCCTCTGCGCATTCATCCCGCTACTCCGTTCACACCTCGCCCATTCACACCCTGTATGTTCACATTCACACCTCATACGTGCTCGCTTTTTCGATGCAAGTACCGCACAACCCTGGCACAACCCCCCTGACCCCCCCTCTGGACGCGTCCACCCTCCGTCCAACATTCGCTTGCGGCAGCCACCTCCAAGTGTGCTCCTCCGCTAGAGTCACCTTCTCCTTCGCTACGCCCTGCCTGAAGAGCGGGGAGGTTCTCGACTGCCACGTGACGATACGAGCACGAGCGGGACAGGAGCAGGCTCGGCGTTACAGGAGCAGGCTCGTTGGTTGGCGGCTCCCGCGCTTTTATTTTTTTTGAAGTTGGAGAGGGAAAACATGTCGAATGTCGTCCGAAAAAGAAGAAAGAAAGCAGTATGCCAAGGCATATCCTCAAAACGGAAGGTTTTTTCTTTCTTTCCCAAGGGGTGGGGATGTCGGGCGGGGTGGGGAGTGGGTGGGCGCCGGAGTGGGAGTTGTGGTGGTGTGGGACTGCTCCTGTGGTGCGGGCGACGGCTTCTGAGGAAGCCGCCGCCCGCGCCTCGCCTGTCGCGTGAATCGTGTCGTGCGACCGCGTTTTTTGGAGCACTTGGAGCACTTGGAGTGCAGTCATCAACCGTGTCACATCGAGCGCCTTCAAATTCTTTCCCAAGGCAGGGCCACATGCTTCTGCCAGTGCATGGGTCGCTGCTCGCAGTCTCCTCGCTTGTCGCGCCCGCTCGCCTTGCCGCGCCTCAAGCGGGCGGCGCAAGCTCTGTCTTGTCCGAAGCCTGGTTTGTCAAGACAGAGACCTTTGTCACCGGCAAGCCGTTTCCCGAGATCAGGCCTCACCTCGAGGCGCACAAGGCGTGGGTCGCAAATCTGCGGCAGCAGGGCGCCACGATCACGAGTGGCTACCGCGTGGACGCCGATGGCCGGCCTGGTGGCGGCGGCCTCATGCTCTTCAGGGCCGCCTCCCATGCCGCGGCCGAGCAGCTGTGCCTGCAGGACCCACTCGTGTCTAGCGGCTGTGTGGAGTGGGCCGTCAACGGATGGGTGGCGGAGGTGGGCGATCTAGAGCTCGTCGACGGTGGCGCGTGGTGCGAGAAGCAGGCTGCGCTGCCCGACAGCCCATCCCGGCGCAATGACCCGCCGACGGCGGGCGGCGGGCGGCAGCTCGAGGTGGCTGTCGTCACGGTCGCCTTTGGTCGCGTCGGCGCGCGCACCGCTCTCCCCTGTCTGGCCGCTCCTCGCTGCTGAGTCCCTCGTTCCCGCACGCCCCTCCTGCAGACGGCATCGAGGCGGCCGTGCGCGGTGCGGTCGAGGAGCGGGGCGAGGTCGTGCGGTGGTGCGTGAGCAGCCTCGACGGCGAGGCGAGACGCGCCACCGCGGAGGTTGTGATACTGCCGCATGCCGCGCCGCATCGTCAGGAGGGCTGAGGGCGCATGTGGCCGAAGCGGCCGCGCTGCTGTGCCTGAGCGGGACGCATCTCCGCGCTGAACGGTCCCTGTCGGGGCGTGTGACGTGGTGGGCGCGACCGGCTTCCTGGAGTCGGCTTTTTGCACGGCAGCGGCACCGGCTACGACCTACGTTGGTCTCGCCGCGCACCTGATTTTTCCCGCGTCCCAACAAAATGGGACAATACGTCCGTGCGCTAGCCACGCGGGCGCCGCACACCGCATTGAATTCTGCAGCCGCTCCGACACCGAGCTCCGAGCTCCGAGGTGGTCTCCCCGCGCGCATGCAATTGCATACGGCTTTACGGACGCCACATTATCCCACATACCGCCGGCAAGCCGTATTAGTTAGGTTATAGCGCATTGCCTGCGTTGCGCGATGCGACACTTGTGCGGAGAGAGGGAGAGGAGAGACACCGATACCGATATGCCTCGCATACCGGCCACATTGCCGCTCCCTCCGCAACGAACGCAATGCCGACGTGCTGATAGACCCGGAGGACGGGCTGGCGGGCTCTCACGCGCGAGGCATCTCGGTGAGCTTGGGCGGCTCCGCCTTCTTGACCTTCTGGGGCCCGTCCATGACGAAGCCTTCGTGGGTCATCAGCTGGTTGGACTGCTGCGCCATGGCGCACGTGCCGCAGCAGAAGGCGTAGATCGTTGTCTCGCACGGGTCTTCCTGGATTTTGTACTTCTCGAGCACGGCCTGACGTGTGGCGAGGAGGGCCTGCCCCTCGCAGCAGAAGCCGGCAACGCGGAGAGGAGGGAAGGCAGAGCCGCCCATGCGAAGCGGCGTGGCGCAGCATAGCATCCAGAAGGTGTTGTCCGGGCCGCACTCATTGACGACTCCCGCTTTTGCCTCGAGGTCGGTGTAGAAGCAGCAAGTCGGGCCAATGTGCGCGATGCAGCAGACGCACGCGTTGCCGTCGGCGCAGGCCTTGTGCTTGTTACATTCGAACATGCCGATGTCGAACGTGCCAGCCACATGCGCGGGAACGGGCTCGACCGTCGCCATGTCGCCGGTGTGGCGGTGAACGCGACCCCCTTCAAATCTCGGCGGTCCTCGGCGGGCGCCACACGGTCTATAGAGGTACGCCCAGCGCCCCAGCCCACGCCTTCGGGGGTTTTATCTGGTGGAGTCCTTGATTGCCAACAGCATACCTACACGCCGCCGCCGCCCTCCACCTCGACCCTCCACCTCGCCCACGCCGCCGCTACCCTCCACCTTCTTCCCACCGCCGACCGACCGCCGCCGCTCACGCCTCCGCCGCCTTCCATCTCGCCCACGCCTCCGCCGCCCTCCACCTCTCCCATGCCGCCCCCCCGCCCTCCACCTCGCCCACCCCTTTGCCACCACCCTCTCCTTCGCCGCCCCTCGCCCCCACCGTCCTCCACCTCCACCCCTCGCCCTCCCCCCCGCCCTACCGAACCACCCGCCGCCCGCCCATGCAGACTTCCGCCCTCCCGCCGCCCTCCCCCCTTTCTGCCCCTCCGCCTTCGCCATCCCCCATCTGTGCATTCCACTCCGTTCGCTCCCTCCCGCTTGGCGCCCATCCCGCCCTCCGCCCTCGCCCTCCGCCCCTGCCCTGGCTGGCCTGGGTGGCATCTCTGCATCATCACGCGCCAAGTGGGAGGGAGGTGGACGGGGCCCTGAGCCGACCTAGCCCCAGACGGAACGGGGCGCCCAACACGTGCCCGGATTACTGTGCCTTCCCCTAGGCCTTCCCCGGGTGCAGCCTTTCGGTTCGTGAAGGGTCGGTGCGTGTCGTGACCCCTGGAACACCCGTACCCCCGCACCATCTCCGTCGCTTGGTTCCATAACCTCTGCCACAACAACAACAACACGTCTCGCGCGCGCGTGAACAGGGCTTTGCAGGGGCAACTACACAAAACAGGGGCTCCAGGCCCCAAATGACGTGTGAGTGTTAGATTTGTTTGGTATTGCTAAAAAATCTGCCACAACTTGAGCACAACCGGGAGCGGCCAGGGCTCATAGACTCGGTCGAAAGACCCCAGATTGGCATCCATGGACCATGCCTTTCTGGACAGGGTGGCCCGCCACAAGGACCCCAGGAATTGCGACTCGCCGCTTTCCTCCCGCTGTGATTCTGTGTGAGCTCTGAGAGAGAGATTTTTAGCTTGTTTGTTGTTGAGCTCTGTGTCTTGATTTGCCAACAATATACTTAACACACCCCGGATGCGACCATGCACAAAGGTCTCTGTCTTGACAACGCAGGCTTCGGGCAAGACAGAATGCGCCGGTAGTTTCATAAAAACGCTCGAAAGGGACCATTGGGCTTGTACTATTAACAACGAAGGCGCTCTCAAAAAAACAAACTCTCTCTCGTCCTTGCCAGCCGCCTTGCTGCCGACCGACCATACTCCCGCGAAGCATGCCGGATGCGGGCAAAGACGACGCCCCTCTCCTTGCGAAGCCGCGGCAAGAGTACATCAGCCGCAAGCGCGAGGAGTTTGCTGTCGCGGGCAGCCAGACGGCGACGCATGCCTTCGGGACACCCTACCTTCGCAGCTGCTCACTCGACGCCGTCCTGTCGTGGATAGCATTCCTCTTCATCTGCTGGCCCATCGGGGTCGTGCTCGTGCTCTCCGGCTGCTGCTGTGGCCCGCTGCTGTTCCAGAGGTTCGCCATGTGGTGCCTGACCGGCCCGCTCCGCAACTCGCTGCTTGGTGTGCTGCTGATGCGGATCCCGTCGCTGACCTATGACCTGGCGATGAATGGGTACCAGTTCCTCTTCCAGGGGTTTGAGCAGCGCATGTGGACCGACACGCTGCTGCCGGCCAGGCGCGAGTACCTCGACGCCAACTTTGGGCGCAACCTCATGCTCTGGGACACAGTTCGCATCGGCGACTACGGCCTCGCTCGCGAGATAGCGCTTGACCCGCACCGCAAGCGCGCCGGCTGCCTCGACGGCTGGCTGATCAAGGGGGCGACGCTGCCGCAGGCGACCAACCTGCCGCTCTTTTTCCACACCGGCGCCGAGTACCACACCGCCTGGCGCAAAGCCTTCCGTGAGCACATCACGGGCGAGCAATATGCAGGGCGATGTGCTGAGCCTTCAGTGAGCCTCTCCCGAGCCCTCTCTTGGTCGCCCCTAGGCGCGCCGTCGGTGGTCGCCAAGCTCAAGGACGGCGGCAGAGCCGCGCGCGAGGAGGCGAGGCCGCACTTGAACGCGTGGCTGGCGTCGGGGTGGGGGGGGATCCAGCCGCCCGCGGCACTTTGCTCGCTGCGTGGATGGCGCAGCTGTGATCAGCGTCTCTTCACAGCTCTAGCTGTGAGCAGGCACTTGGCTCGCGGTGGATGGCGCAGCCCGTCTTCGAGACGCTCGCTTCGCTGCTGCTCGACGTGCGACCGACCGCGCTCGAGGGGGAGGCGAAGGAGGCGTGGGACGACCTCATCACCAAGGCGACTGAGATGGGGCGAGATGGGGCGAGATGGGGCGAGATGGGGCGAGATGACGCGTGACGCCACCTCGCAGGTCGCCATCTACACGACCGTCGGCGCGCTGTACTGGCTCTTGCCGCCCTCGTACCCGCCGCTGCTGCAGACGGCGGGCACGCTCGCCCCCTCCGCCCTCAAGCGCTTCCTCTACCTGCACTGCAACAGCGCCAGGCCAGAGGCCCTCGCCGGCCGGCCGGTCGACTGGCGTGCCTTCGCCGACGCGGTGCCGGGCGTCGAGTCGGTGCGTGTTAATTAACTGTTAATTAACTGTTAATTAACTGTTAACTAACAGGTGCCGGGCGTCGAGTCGGTGACAGCCGACGTGAACGGGGTGCGCGGCCGTCCGCTTGTCCCGCCCGGAGCCTGGAGCCGACCTTCGAGACGCGTGTCGGGAGCCTGTGTCGGGAGCTTGCTCCTTAGGTGCGCCCCTCCGGCTCCGGGGCGAGCTGCTGCGAGGCGACGTGCGGCTCCTGCCTCGGCAGCTCGGACGTGCCTTCGCGGGAGGAGCCAAAGGTCGACAAGCTGCTCGACTCGGTCTGCATGGCGCTGCTGCTCGCGGCGGCGGCAGGCGAGGGGGCTGACTCATCCTCGCCCTCGCCTCCTCGCCTCCTCTCCTCCTCGCCCCTCCTCGCCCCTCCTCGCCCCTCCTCGCCCCTCCTCGCCCCTCCTCGCCCCTCCTCGCCCCTCCTCGCCCCTCCTCGCCCCTCCTCGCCCCTCCTCGCCCCTCCTCGCCCCTCCTCGCCCCTCCTCGCCCCTCTTCCCCCCTCCTCCCCCCTCCTCCCCCCTCCTCAACCCCCCCTCAACACCCCCCGCCCCCCCCCCCCCGCGTGCGGCAGGCACCACCTCTGGCTGCTCCAACACCCTCGCCAAGCTGCTCCGCTTCCCGCGCGGCGTCTTCCCAAAGGCGCTCGGAAACAGCCCGCAGTGGACGGAGGACGCCGACGAGATGGCGGCCCTCTTCCGCGCTTGCCCGACCGACTTCGTCATCGAGGCGCCCTGCCTCGCCCGCCCCTCCTCACACCTCTCTCCTTTGACGAGCCACGCCTCTCGCCCTCAGGCCCTCCGCCTCGCCTGCCCCGTCGCCGGCTCGCACAAGGCGTGCCATCTCCCCACATCTCCCCACATCTCCCCACATCTTCTCCTATCTCCCCGTACCTCGCCTGCCCCGTCGCCGGCTCTCACAAGGCGCTCGGCACGCCGGCAGTGTGACGCCACCATCAGCGAGGGTGGCGAACCATGCACACCTCAACCGGTCCCTCAGGTGCTCGACAAGCCGATGCAGTGCCCCTTCCTCGACGGCACGGTCACGCTGCCGGCGGAGAGCATCGTCGTCGCGAACTACAACACCGCGCACCTCGACCCCAAGGAGTGGGGCGACGACGCGATGGCCTTCGCGCCCGGCCGCGCGGACCACGACCGCTACCTGGTGTGGAACGGGCCCTTTGGGCGGGGGTGGGAGAACGAGCAGCCCCCCGCGCCGCGGCAGTGCCCGGGCGAGGAGCACGCCGTCGCCGTCATCTCGATCGTGGTGGGTGCCTTCCTCGACTACCACAAGCCGGCCGGAGGCGGGCCGCCCAAGAACACGCGCACCGCCGGCGACGCGGAGGCGGCGAGCGAGCCGGTTGCTCGCTCGCTCGCCTCGGAGCCGCCTCAGTCCAAGTCCCACCCGCTGGCGACCTTTTGTTACTACGCATTCGGGGGCTCGCAGTGAGGGCCTCCGGAGGGCGGCCTCTCTTCATGGATGCGTGTGTCCACTGCCCGGCGTACATTCATGCACCCCGGCGTTGCGCAGCCCCTCGCGAGGAGCTGCATGCTTCGGGGCGTACGTGCGTTGAGTCTGGCCCGTGGCCGTGCGCTGGCCTTGCTCGTCCTCTCCGTCCGGTGTGGGCGTGATGATCCAGAGATATCTAGCTTCTAGGTAATCGTCCGCAGTTGCCACGAATCTCGATTGCGATGTGCTGACCCGCGCGGCCGCGCGGAGGTGTGTGTACGCGTCACGGGGCTGTATAATACAAAACCGAAAAGCCGATCGCTGACTTCGTTTTAAATCTCTCAGCCTGCAATTATGACCTGCCCCTGCCGCGTGTGCCCTTACCCATACCCTCTGGAACCCTGCGGCGCACGGACGCTGCGGCGCCTGCCACATTGCACATACTGCCCTGCCCGCATACTGCCCTGTCCGATCCCCTACCTGCCCCGGGTGTGAAACCCACACTGCCCAGCTGTGAATAACTGCCCGCTCGCGAGGTCTCGGAGAAACTTAGGGTTATAAACGTACACGCGTATATATTGATTTTCCCTGCATTGGGGTTCCCAACAATATGTGCCCCGTCATGTTGTAATCAACGCGCCACCCACGCCATTCTGAGTGCTCGCCTGCTCTCCTCTCGCCAGCAGGTGCGCCGTCGCAGAGCATCGCGGCTCGGGGCCGCCCGCCACCAGAGGGCAGAGCCTGAGGGTGCTGTTCTCCATCTTTGGCCAGCCCGGGAGGCGCGCCGGCGACCACGAGAAGGGAGGGCGGCACGCCGGCGCGGCTGGGCTCGCAGCCACACCGCGGCGCGGGTGCAGCGCCAGGTACTCTCGCACGCAGCCGCCGCCGCCCGGCAGGTCAGCCGCGAGCTGCCTCAGGTCGGAGGCCAGCCTCCTGCCCGCCGCGCGGTGCAGCGCCGCGTCGGTGCTGCTCAGGCTCCTCGCGCTCGCGTCGCTGCCGTTCGCCGCCCAAGCCAGCGCTCGCGCGCCGGCCGGCGAGTCGTGCGTGTTGGCGGCCGGCGGCAGGGTGGGGCAAGCGCCAAGCCCGGCGCGCAAGCACGTCACGAGGAGCGTCTCCGCGAGTCGCTCGGTGGTTCCGACC